AATGTTACCAATGGTACCAAAAAATAGTAATGGAAGTGGAATGTAGCGATTGAGTTCTTGTGTCACAAAATTGAGTTGAGTAATCAACAATTGGCTACTAGTACCAGTTGTCATTGAAGCTTGGAGTCCAAATGAGAAGTGGAATAGATATTTTATTCACCTTTTGCTTCACAAACACTTCACTGAACGCTTTCTTCGTTGAAGTACTAAGATAGCTGCACTATTCTAATAGAAAGTAAGAAAGAAAAGTAACATGAATAAGATATAAGAAGTGACAGAATAATTAAAAACTGGAAAAGCGCAGTCGTGAAGAGTTTTTGAATAAATAACTGGGTACTTCCTCAGAATATGCGTGCGATATACTTAATTAGTTTGATTACCACAGAATAGCGAGTAAGTCTCACACAAAACAGCACAATTCTCGTGAACAGAGCATAATATTTGCTAGATTCTATGCATAGTGCTCCTGCAAAAGCATTATTCTTGTTACCTAGACAAGAAAGTTTCTATGAGGAGATACAAAAGTCTCGTGAAGAGAGCATAATATCGGCAAGATTCTATGAGCAATTCTCACAGAAAATAGCATAATTCTCGTGATCTATACAAGACAGTTTCTTTGAAGAGAAATAAAATTCTCGTGGAGTAGTGCTTTTTCGCGTTGGAGTGGAATAATAGCGGTTTTGTTTGTTGTTTGGTTTTGTGCTCAAAATATTCAAAACAAACGTGGCCCATTTTATGTGAGACACCTGTTGGAAATATAAAATGACTAAAAGAACTAAGAAGCGGATATGCTAAAGGTTATTTAAACAATAACAATGGACACGAACAACTGTATCTGTGTTGTCAGCGGAAAACAAAATGAATGTAATCGCACAAAGTCTAAACAGGTTTCATACGCCTACAAAGAGCTTGTGTATTTTTGTAGAAATGTCCGGTTTTCTAGAGCCGATTTGAAATACGAAACCTCGCCCAGGTTCGTACATTGAGCACAAGACCTGTTGATCTACGAAAGTTTCAGAGGTTCAGCAAATGAACGCGAAAACATTAAAAATTCAGAAATGATCCGCGAAACCTTTAAGGTATTGTAGGGAACTATTTTCGTTTAGAAAATATTAAACCTTCTGATCGCATAGTGCGATAAAGAAAATAATCTGTGCTAAAGATAAAACCAGTCTAAAAACCCGAGATTAGGATAACCAAAACCCTTTCCGTGTATCAATACTCGTCTACTGACAGCCTCAGCAGGTATTTTGTGTTGCGTACAGGTGTCAGTAGCGCTTAGTTAACACTCTCAAGCCTCTAGTAATGTGATTGTCAGCAGTGAAAACTACTTGGGGGTGGCAACAGCTGTTTACTGGCATTTCTACAAGTTTTTTATCAATACCTTCTTGCTCTCATCCCTCCAGTTATCAATGGCCATTTCGAAGTTTTAATGCTATAAAAGCAGCAGAAACCCTGAAATAGGTGAAAACATTTTAAAAACAAAATTTCATTTTTACTACGTATTCTCGTTTTTGGTTCAAAACGTGTGGCGTTCAGTGTCTTGTTAAATTTCTTTTCGCGAAACTTCAAATGCACGAAAGAAATCCAACCAGTATGTCGATGCGACTTGATTGTTACAGATAAAATTATCAGTATAGTACATACTTAAGTAACTGATTTTTGTTCTTCGTCGAATGAACGAATGATGAATAAAATTCATTAGCAATAAAAGCATGTATATTAAACACATTTGTCGGTCTTTACAGATAAAAGCAATACTCTGTAATTAGAAATTTCTACTGCTATTAATTAATAATTTACTGTTCCCAGATGAAATTAAAACTGTTTCAAAATATGTCCTAGATTGTTTAGTTTTTTCACGGCAGTGGTTCGTGTTATTCTATACAACGTTTTTCTTTGACGTTGTTAAAGTAGAAAACAAATTATAGGACTCTGTATGAAACCGAGGACATTATTCTACTCATTAACACAGGCCAATCCAATTGATGCCTTTCGTCCTAGGCTTCTTTAATACTAACACAACAATTAATTGAGTTTTTTTGTCAACGAACTCATTAGCATGTTAGAGCAGAAAAAATACCAAATAATTAAAATACAATAAAAATCTAGTTTTTCGATTTTCCTATAGGCGTTTTTGCAAAAAACGACAACAAAGACGCAGACGATCATTGATATACATTATGAGAGAGGTTGAAAAATCGACTTTTTTTGCGCCAGACGGATCGAGCTTAAATTTTGGGAAATGAATAGTGACTATTACTTATTCATTTACTGAAAGTTTTATCTTTACACATATAATGGTTTCAAAGATAATTACTTTTATAGTTGGCGCTAAGTGAGTAACACTTATTCTCGTTGAACGTAGCACTTTTGAACTGGAGCAATTTTTTCGAAGGGAACGCAGTGTCTAGCATAATTCTTGATGATTGAAAGCTTTTTTAGAGTGTATAAGTAGGCTTCTCTTGGTTTTTTGAGTGAACTTTGAGTTAGTATAGTTCTCTTTTGTTGCTTAGTTGCACAAGAGAAATCACCCTATACATGAAAACAAGTCTGCTCATAATGGAAAACGATACTGAAAATTACAGCAAAATTTGTAAATAAAAGAAAACTGACTAAGACAACGAGCTAATTTTTTTTTAAATTTAAATGAGAAGAGTTTTCAGTTTTAAAAAAGAATGACAGAGAACGTAGTTGTTTAGTTTAAAACAGGACATAACTAATCAGTTTCTCTCAGTAGCAGTATTTGTGATTGTAGTACATACCAGTTTTTCAAAACATCTAATAAAAATGCAGTTAGACAACTTTTTTGCCGATAGTAGCAAATGCGAGTTTGAATCTATTTCGTAGGGCGAGCGATAGTTATGTCTGATTAAAGAGTTTTAGCAAGACGAGCTGCAGTATACGTTTTCACAACATGCGATAGGAAATGGTGCGCTGTTTTTTCAATGTAAAAGAAAAATAAACAAAACTGTTCTATTTCAAATGCTTTTTTAGCTGGATTAAAAAGCACTCTGAAAAATATAATTATGGCTTTTCGTCCTACAGTCTATGATAATTGTACTCTCTCGAAAGTTTAATGCCGGATTTAAGCTTCCTCTTCACCTGCCAGTAACTCTGCTTTTATCAGTATTCAAAAATAGAGCACCTTGTGGAAGTACGATCATGATCATAAAGACAGATGTTTGAAGTCGATACATCGTAAAATTGCCCTTTATCAGGAACAATTCTTTAACTTGTAGGCTTTGGCTATTGGACTTCAAACGGTTTAGCATTTGAAACTGCACACACACACATACTGGTACTTTTGTATAAAAAGCCAACCCTTTTTCAAAGTATGCCTTATCCTTCGTTGCATTTCTGATCACATTTCGTTTGTTTGCTTGGATATTTTCTAAATAATGTTTCAAATGAGGATGAAATTCCTAGAAAATACAAAAAATAAAAAATAAAGCACAGTACATTCTATGGAGCAAGATGTGTTAAAAAATTGATTATATTGGAAAGAAATTGCGATAAAAATACAATTCAATCAATAATAACTTACGGGTTTATCAATTTCGATACAAGCTAATCTTAAGAATCTTAAATTGTTGCGAATTTCAATTGCATGTCGTCGTGTGGCATGTATTGTCGGTGTAATTAAGCCCAGAAATAAGAAAAAGAAATAGTGATGAAGCAGAGAGAAATTCTTTATTATTGTTTAAACACTGAAAAAGGAATTACCTAAAAGGCTTTCAAAATTAAATGTTGAATAGTTGGATAACTGACCAAAATCTTGTACTGTTGCTCCAATATGCTCAATACTATGCACGGATTGAACATTATGTCTTTTCGTATGCAGTAATGGGAACTGTTGAAGAAATTTTGTTAATAAATCATCAATATCCGGGATCGTTGACGGTTCAATTGAGCGTGACTCCGCAAGCTGCATTGCTATTACTAATAATTGAAAATAGTGATAATATTTTATTTTCATTGGTAATCGAAATGCCGGTAATCCAAAGGAAAGTATTAAGCGGAATTCATTGCCTTTAAAATTACTGTGGTGTAATATTGTTCTTGGTATTCTGGAAGTTGTTGATGGATACTTGTAGGATGATAAATATGAAGCAATATCACCGCATGAAGCAAGCACAGCTCCCCACCGTCCCTAAAAGCATTCGACATCATACTGCGCACCCCTCTTCAGAATAATGACAACGAAGTAGCTCGAATCCAACACGATTGGGACGTCGCTATTGTCACAGCAAAAGGTGCGTTAGTTAAATGTATGATGGATCTTAAAAAACTAGAAACAGCCAAAATTGACCAGGAAATCGAACGATTCATTAAATTTATTCCTGCTAATTGTGAAAAAACAATTGAGGAACTGATACAACGGAAATTCAAAATAGAGGAAGTCCGCTGCGACTCGAAAATTCATTTTTTAGAACAAAAATTCGAGAAAACCAGCAACGACTAACAAAAATAGGCCCACACACTTTCTTCCATCCCCATCTCTCTCACCTCACTTTCCCACCACAAGTAAAAAACTATGCTATCCCCCTTCCTTCAATGCAGAAAACACTATTAAATCGAGGTCCCAAATGTGTGTTAGCGAATTCACCGATAGTAATGAAACGTCTTCCGTCGGAAATTGAGCATATGAAAGAAAAAATACTAAAAAAATGTTATGACCAGCCTTACCGTCAACCGCTTGTTTACCATTATTAATATATTCGTTAAACTTTCTGTTGGTAAAACACATATTGAGCTATTGGGCAAACGAACAGCAAAAGGGCGCCCCAAGAAAATTAACACAGCTTTGAATTTTTTTAATCCTTGTATTCCAAAAATACAACAATTTGCTGATCATGTCAAAATCGAAATAGAGCATCGGTTAGGACAGACCGGATATCATAACCAAGATCACGTTCAGCACGCGATTCATCAACTAATTGAACAACAGAAGGACAAAAATGTTGTTTTTCGACAGACAGATAAATCAAAAATCCTTCATCCGGATCTCCCAGAAAAATACGCACGGAAATCGGCGAACTACATGGCGAAAACTGATGCATACGAGGAAGTTTTTGAAAATCCTCTACGTCTAATGATCGATAGTACCCATAAATTACTTTTAAAACTCTTCCAACTCAAAAAAGTTAGTTTGAAGACCTATGAAAAATTACGACCTAGAAATGAATGCGAGCTTCGCCACTTATATTATAATCCAAAAGACCATAAACCCGGTGAGCCTCTGAGACCAATCGTTGCGGGGATGAAGTCCCCAATCGCCCCTATTTCCACATATCCTGACCGCATACTTCGGCCAGTCTTTGAACGTTTTACACACCAACATACCCTTCAAAATACTCTTTCCTTTCTATCTCATTTAGAATCACACCCCATAACAGATGATACTCTGTTAGCAACGTTCGACACCACAGATGATCCCTCAGAAAGGCACCATATCAGCTCTTTGACGGATGCTCGCCACTACTAAAAACTATAAAATCAACAATGTTTCCATTGATACATTTGCGCAACTGACAAGACTAGTTCTTGAAAACTCCTTTTTTGTCTATGAAAACCGTTTTTATCGACAGACGAAAGGAGGAGCCATGGGTAGTGCGGTAACACAAGTGTTAGCAGATGTATACATGTATGAATGGGAGAAAGAACTTCTTGCATTGCAGAAAAGCGAAGGACAATTGTACCTTCGTTTTCGAGATGACATCTTTCTCACCTCCACTTTACCCTATCAGAAACTGGAAGAGAGACTCAGAAACTTTAATGAGAAAGACGAAAATATTAAACTAACACACGAGATAGGCAAAACACAACCCTATTTATTACCATTTAGTAGTTCCCATCCTAGGCACATCAAACGAAATATACCGTACTCTGCATATATACGAGCAATTCGCATATGTTCTAACGCATCAGACGGAGTACAAGAATTTTCAAACATTAGATATCGCCTTCTACTAAACCAATATCCCTCAAAATTCATTGACGCACAAGTCAAACGTTTACTGCGAGATTTAAAACTATCCACCCTCGGCCAACTCTTTCAAAACTATGGAAAAGTTCGAAAACAACTCTTTCGTACCGATTGGAAACAGCAAGAGAATAATCCACACCGATCGACACGAATAAATTGGGAAACAGATCTGTTGATCCATTTTTCCTATATGCCAGCATTAGAGTGCTTCGGCGCTCGATTGCGTAGTATATGGAACAGTGTTTTTCGAGAGACACCATTCGCATTTATCAACCCTAGGATACCGTTTGACTCCAAATCTCACGCAAATTCTTGTTCGTGAAAAGACTTCATGTAAAATTTTACAATCAAAATAATCAAACTATTTCTCCATCATGTATAACTGAAGAAGACAATTACTTCTGTCTCTTATAGAACTTTAGCTCAGATGTTTTTTCCTCACTTTTTCTTACTCGCCAATCGCGATAGCAAATACTCACTGCAAAAATGCCCCGGACTCACTCTCACACCGTCTCCGCCCCGCCCTCCTGTCTCGAATGCATGAAAGTTTCTGATACAAGTCCTTTTATTCAATCTTTTTAACCTTTTTTTTAAATTGTTTTGCTTATTCAAAATCATCATCCAGTCCTTGCCATCCATAAAAAAAGCTATCATTCAATTTCCTTTCCTATATCTCAGCAATGTTTCCACGTACAAGTGATAAACATACATATATGAGAGATGATTCATTTCTCTCTTTCTTTCCCATCCTATGATATTGGGTTGATGCATAATTATCCGGCCACTTTGTGATATCAAAGTTTATTCAACAAAACACAATAAAAACAGATTTGAATGATTATTCTGGGGCGTATTCTCCATCCACTTCAATAACTGCTTCCCATTTGCTTGGCAACATATCGATTCCACGGGTAAAGAAGTCACGATTCTTAGAGGCGATCCACGCCTTAACATCTTCGACAACTTCATCCAGATCTTCGTATACTTTGTTCACCATCCAGTTTTTCAATGAGCGGTTGACGTGGTAGTCCGAGGGAGCTTCCGTGGGAGAGTATGGCGGGTGTGGGAGCAGAACCCAACCCTTCTCTTCGATCACTCGATGCTCGACATGGGGCTTGCCGTTGTCGTGCTGGAAGACGATGTGATTCTTTTTGCGGGGTCTCTTGCGTTGGATGGCTGCATGGAGGCTGTCGAGCTGAGCCAGATAAACGTCGCTGTTGAGAGTATGCATCTTTTTCCCCGCCCGGTCTGGAATCGGCCATCTTTGCTCCACATCATTGTCATCCCACCAAAAACAGAAGCTCTGTTGGCGAATTTTGGCGATAATCTCCCAGTGGATAATGCCGGATCTGTCCCACCAAACACACCACATGGTCTTCTTGCAGTGCAAATTCTTTGGGATTCCTTTTGGGGTTTGGCCGGGGTCAATGCATACCTTCTTTCTTTTGACGTTTTTGATCAACAACCATGACTCGTCACCGGTAACCAAGAATTTCAGGAAGGGGTTTTGTTCGTTTCTTAAGCTCAACTCAGTGAAAATTCGGATCGTATCTTCTTTGTTCTTTTCCGATAGCTCGTGAGGGACCCACCCAGCCAGTTTCCACACCTTTCCGAGCTTCTTGAGCCGCCGTACGATGGTGGATTGATCAACATTAAACATTTCGGCCAAAATTTGGGCTTTCGTCTTCTTCCACAACATTCAAAAGTGCGTCTTTTTCTTCTTTAAGTAATGCATGCGATTTAGCACAGTTGCGAAAGACAGAGGATGTGGTAGAAACAGAGCTCGCTGAATTAAAACGGTTCATCTGGAATATAATGAAGGTTACATAATCTCTTACATATGTCTTATTTTCTTCGGCGTCCAACTAGCCATGCACCGGTTAAAAATCGATACTTTTAGCCTTTTTCGAAAACAGATTTTATTAAGAGTATGGCATATTAAATGTTTCTCATAATTGAGTTTTGTGGAACAAACATTTCTCTATAAAATGAGCTGTCTTCCCATCTTTTCTGTTTGCAATCGTCTTTCTATGAAGAGTCCCATTTATTGGTTTCCGTTATTAAAAATAAATCCAATTAAATATTTTTTTTATAAGTGCTGGATCGCGATGCAGATTGCTCCTGTAGCTTATTTTGTAGATAAATGTTTGCTCCACAAAACTTAGTAATGAGAAAAATTTAATATGCTATATTCTTCGTACAATTGAGTTTTTGCGAAAAGAGGATAAAAAAGCTGATTTTTAACTGGTGCATGCTTAAGTTCAACGTTGTCTATATAATGATCCATTTTCCGATTTAGCTTTTCGATACATGCCGGTAGTCCAGAGTCTTCTTTTTCCCTAAATTAAGATGATGGAACTCATCTAAAAATTGTTGTAGTAATTGTTAAATAGTAAAGAACGACAAGATAATTGCAGCTTTAAACATTTCCTTTCTAATTTGTAATTGATATTTTTGTTTGTTTGTATGAACGTTACAATATGTTTCAAGAAGATTAACTCAATCCTAACGGTAAATTTAATTGTTTTGCTGCATAAAAAGTATCGAATAAGTTTACGATATAGACAGCAAAATCTCTTTGTAACCATTCAATTAATTAAATTAAGATGATGGAACTCATCTAAAAATTGTTGTAGTAATTGTTAAATAGTAAAGAACGACAAGATAATTGCAGCTTTAAACATTTCCTTTCTACTTTGTAATTGTCGACTTTTATCGTCATTTTCAACAAATGAATTTAGAGCAGAAGATTTTTCTAAAATTCTTTTAGAAAAACATCAATCTAAGTTACTAATTAAAGAATCGTTGGTAATTAGGTCAACATACCCTGTGTTAAACGGTACAGATCGATCTGTATCATTATACATTTATCCTGATGATATAAAACCGTCTATAACACGAAAGAATGTCATCGAATAGTATCATCTACTTAACGGAATGAACAGTGGTTAAAGTAAAGCACGTATAGTATAAGTGAAACTAAGCAATTCTCTTCTCCCTCTCACAGTTTATTACATTACGACCTTTAAATTTGTTGAAAACGACTATAAAGATCGAAAATTCCAAAGAAGAACAATGTTTAAGTGTACCACTCTAAAAACGTTTATTGATCCATGTTTGAGTTAAATATCATATCTTTTACTAAAGACAGTTTTCTCCTCGTCTTTTAACTTTCTTAACTTAACAGCTTTTACAGTAAATATGGTTTTTTCCGTTACTCTTTTACAGCTTTTCAACTTCGCGGCTAACATTTTATTTGCCGGTAAACAAAGAAATAATAGAAAAAAAAGCACACAAGAATAAACATTGTTGTGCAAGAAACAAAACATTCATCTCATTCAGAAAACATAGAAAAATATATAAAAATCAGATGCAAAATGTATGTATCTGACAGCCATTAATGTTCAAATTTGAAAGCAATAACAGTTGAACAGCCACACATAAGTCTAGGAACATCGACAATGAGACAGTCTAGGCTTGCAGCAGCTAAGCCGCAAAGCGCACGATTGCTTCAATTATCGATTCCACACACCCATATTAATCAGAATAATATCCTCTAAAAATAAACAAAAGACTTCAATTAAGCCAATATAGTGTTACTAAAGTTTCACTTGCCTTTGACGTTCACATTTACGCGTCAACCGACGTTTGAGCGCCCGACATTTGAGCGACCCCGACATTTGAGCGACCCCGACATTTGAGCGACCACGACATTTGAGCGACCCCGACATTTGAGCGACTCCGACATTAGACACTTTT